GGCTTAAGTGCTTCTCTTGCCTTAGCCTCCCAAGTAGCTGGAACTACAAGCTCCCACCAAAACACTGGGCTATTTTGGGGTTGTAGTCATTGTTGTTTGGCAGGCCTGGGCTGGATTTGAAACTGCCAACTCTGGTTTATGTGTCTGGTGGATTAGCGGCTTGAGCTCAGGCACTGAGCCTGAACCTCATTCTCATACCTGTCTCCCTTTGTCTAGACTTTTGTTACCTATTCCTAATATTTGTAATCTACAAACAATTAATAATTGAGTATTAATTTCAAGCTTATATAATCATTATTACTAGTAATGCAAGTATATCAAGATGAGTCCTCTCTTAAGACTTCCCACATGCACCCTTCATTTTTTTTTCCTACTAAAGTGACTAAACACAGACCTTTGCAAAAGCTTTTACCTAGTTTTGTGTTCTCAATCATATGTCTGCCTGCACAGCCAGGTAATCATCAACAAGTCATCCTGTCACCTAAGACCCTTGAGTACTTGAGATTACAGGCATAGGTACCACACTTGTTATAATAATTATTATTATTATTATTATTATTATTTTTGAGACAGAGTCTTACTATATCGCTCTTGGTAAAGTGCTGTGGCATCACAACAACCTCCAACTCTTGGACTTAAGTGGTTCTCTTGCCTCAGCCTCCCAAGTAGCTGGCACTACAGGCGCCTGCCACATGCCCGGCTACTTTTTCTTTTTTTGTTACTGTAGTTGTCATTGTTGTTTAGCAGGCGCAGGCCGAATTCGAACCCCCCAACCCCAGTGTATATGGCCAGCACCCTAACCACTGAGCTATGGACGTCAAGCCTGTTATAATTAATTTTTATTATTATGTACAGATGATTTGCAGTGTATGTTATACAATATAACTGACATGCACCACTTATTATAACAGAATGTCTGTTCTCCATGGGGAATTTGTTAACATTGTTCTACTGATCTTGTTTGCTCAATTTATTGTTTTATAATTCAGAATTACCATTTATTTGGATTATCTTTACATTTGTTTGTTGGGGATTATTTACTAATATCTATTATACTGCCCTTTACCATTTACTTGTGTATAGTAAATATGCTGTAACTACAAATATTTTTTGTCTTCATTAATGAGACAGCATTATGTTTTCTGCAAAGTGTGTACTTTAGAATAACAGTGGAAAAGGGCTTATTTCAAGTTTATACATGTTTGCACAGCATGTGTTTGGTCATCATACTGGAAACTAGGATGGCTGAGAATTAATTTAAATTATATGTAGGTACATTTTCTATATTAAGGAATTGTACTCCTTTTGTGTTCCAAAGCTTTGAAGATCATGTTTAGGAAACTTTTTTTTTTTTTGAGACAGTCTCATTCTGTCACCCTGGGTAGAGGATTATAGCATCATCATAGCTCACATCAACCTCTAATTCTTGGGCTCATGCAGTCTTCCCACCTTGGCCTTCTGAGTAGCTGCGCCTACAGGCACCCACCACAATGTCTGGTTAGTTTTTCTGTTTTTAGTAGAGACAGAGTCTTGCTGTTCCTCAGGCTGGTCTTGAACTCCTGAACTCAGGGGATCCACTCACCTTGGCCTCCCAGAGTGCTAGGGTTGCAGGTGTGAGTTATCATTCCTGGCCATGTTTTGGAAACTTAATGTAAATTTCACTTTGCTGTGATACATATTTAAATACTTATTTATCATCTATAGTTAATAGGAAACCCGTGGCTTTTTATGTCTTGTAGATATCTCTCCTAAATGCGTGATCAAGAAATTACCCCCAACATGGAAAAGTACCACAGGAGACATATTCTACATATTGATGTTGGAAAGTCACGAAAGCCGTCCTAGTGGAGATTTTTGCTTCAGGGACATTCAGAAAAATATCCATGACTTTGAGGTTCATTGGAGAGATGATGAACAAAATTGCAACCCAGTGCCTTTGGCAAAAAAAGAAAATTTTACTGGTGGTAGAGGCCAACCTGATACAGTGGATGCTGGAAACAAGGCTGTTACAAATGAACTTGAGTTAAACTTTCAGTCACATCTCCCTGAACTAAGTGTATTTCAAGATGAAGGGAAAATCGGTAATCAATTTGAGAAGTCTGTCAACAATTGTTCCTCAGTTTCAGTATCCCAAAGTATTTCTAAAACCCATATCTCTAATGAATATGGGAATGATTTCAACTATTCTTCATCACTCACACAAAAACGAAAAACGCACATTAGAGGAAAACCTTACAAATGTAATGAGTGTGGCAAATTCTTTAGTTTCCTCTCACACTTCAGTATACATCAGATAATCCATTCTGGAGAGAAACCATATAAATGTGATGTATGTGGCAAGGACTTTAATCATAAATCAAACCTTGCACGGCATCGTAAAATTCATACTGGAGAGAAACCTTACAAGTGTAATGAGTGTGGCAAAGCCTTTAGTGTGCGCCCACACCTCACTCGACATCAGAGAATGCACACTGGAGAGAAACCATACCAGTGTAAAGAATGTCAGAAAACTTTCAGTCACAATTCATGTCTTGCAGTACATTGGAGAATTCATAGTGGAGAGAAACCTTATAGGTGTGATGAATGTGGGAAAGTCTTCAGTCAGAAATCAAGCCTTGCAACGCATCAGAGAATTCATACTGGAGAGAAACCCTATAAGTGTAACGAATGTGGCAAATTGTTTAATCAAACTGCAGCCCTTAAAAGTCATCAGAGAATTCATACCGGGGAGAAGCCTTACAAATGTAGTGAATGTGGCAAAGTCTTTAGTCAAACTGCATCCCTTGCAAATCACTGGAAAACTCATACTGGAGAGAAACTTTGTAAGCGTCGTAAATTTGGCAACAGCTTCTGTTAAAGTGCAACCATTGCAAATCACTGGAGAGTTTATAGTGGAGAGAAAGCTTAAAAGTGTAATAAATACGGCAAGGTGTTTAGTTAGACTGTACACCTCACAAAATATCAGAAAACTCACACTGGAAAGAAATTGCAAATGTAATGAGCATGGCAACATCTTCAGTCAAAATTCACTCCTCAACATCATAAAATTCATTCTTGACATAATCTGTACAAATGCAATGAGTATAAATAAACTTCATGAGTTCAAGAAGTAATTAACATTAGAGAGTTCATATGAATGTGGAGTTATATAACTAATGTCTATCACAAAGTAGTTTTGCTGGTTTTGCAACTCACTAGACGCCAGAATATGTCTTTGATGTATCACGCAATTATAAAGTGCATGATCAGACTATTGCCCATGTTTCAGAGATATAGAGGATCAAAAGACTTACATGAGAGGTGGTGCCTGTGGCTCACTGGGTAGGGCGCCAGCCCCATATACCAAGGGTGGCGGGTTTGAACCCAGCCCTGGCCATCTAAAACAGCAATGAGAATTACAACAAAAAAATAGCCTGGTGATGTAGTGGGTGTCTATCCCAGCTATCCAGGAGGCTGAGGCCAGAGAATCGCTTACGCCCAAGAATTGGAGGTTGCTGTGAGCAAAGTGAGACTCTGTCTCAAAAAAAAAAAAAATCACCTGAGGAATAACTCAGTATCTAGTCAACTATACTGTAGGACAATTACAAGTTAAAATATATTAAAACCTATGGTGTAATAACATACCAGAGGTCCCAGGACTTTTGGAAATGGCCGGTTTTTTTCTGAGGTCATATGATATTTTACTCAATTATATAAGGTTTATTATTTATGACTTTGAAGCTGAACTTTGACATGTTTTTTGTCTTTGTCAATAAAGTCAGCTTGGTAAAATAAAAATCTGTTGATACTATACATCTTTACATGCCTTTGAAGGTGGTCTCCAGATAAGAATGAAGGACCTACTTTATTAGGTGAGAATAATTTACTTCTCTGTTGCTGATCGAAGGACTTGGCTCTTTAAATATTTTATGAATTAAGAGAGCTTTTGGCAGAGGCCAAGAATAACATTAAACAATGATGTCACTCAAAATGTTCCCTGTGTTATTGGTGTATTTCTCCTGATGGTAGCGTACTGTGCATTAAAGGAAAGAAATGCTCCATTAACTGACCCTAAAATAAATCAGGCTGCATTTAGCATGTATGGAGTTGGGTAGGTGAGAGAATAATAGGTTAGTTGGGACTGAATGACAGTAGTCACCTCCATTGAATGGCAGTAGCTATGTAGCAAAGATTAATGAAAAATTAGTCTTATTTTTTGAAGTTGAAGAAAACACTTCTCAGGAGAGTTTAATCAAAATCACCAATAGAGCCATGTGCTTAAGAACGTGCACATATAACTTTTGGCATAACATTTTGCTATTGGTTTACTGAAAATGTATTATAGATCTCATTTTAATTACTAGAATTCCTCTGTCACTCAGTATAGACTGCAGAGGTATGATAATAGCTCAATGTAACCTCAAATTCTTGGGTCTTAGCAATACTCCTGGCTCATCTTCCCAAGTAGCTGGGATCATAGGCACGCACCACCACACCTAGCTAATTATTTCTTTTAGAGATATGGCCTTGCTATGTTTCCCAGGCTGGTCTAGAACTCCCAGTATAAAGCACTCCTCCCACCTCCGCCTCCCACAGTACTGAGATTACAAGCATGAGCTACTATGCTCAGCCAAAAACTCTTAAATGCATACACCTTAAAACTTGAACAGTTGGAGCACTCAATGGTTCACAAATGGGCCAGTATCAGATGGCAAGACTTAGCAGTCTGGAATGGAGGTTGAAAAGGAAATTTACAAGGTGTTTCTGGAAGCAAAACAAAATATGTTTATTTATTTATTATTTTTTATTAAATCATAACAGTACATTGATGCATTTATGGGGTTCAATGTACTGCTTTGATATACAATGTGAAATGCTTACATTGAACTAAGTAACACATTCATTACAATTATACTCATTTCTTAACAGTTTTCTAATGTACTATTGCATCATGCACATTAGGTGACATCTCCCAAGATACCCTCCATCCTCCCATGTTCCCCCTCCTCTCCTCTCTCCTCTTCCCTTCTACTTTCTGGACTATAGTTATGTTTTGCCATTCATATGAATGTGTAGGTGATTATATATTGATTACATAGTAGTATTGAGTACATTGGATACTTTTTTTCCCATTCTTAAGATACTTTACTTAGAAGAATATATTCCAGCTCCATTCAGGTAAACATAAGAGATGTGAAGTCTCCATCTTTTTCATGGCAGCATAGTATTCCATGGTGTACATATACCACCATTTGTTAATCCATTCATGGGTCAATGGGGACTTGGGCTGTTCCCATGTCTTAGCAGTTATGAATTAGGCTGCAATAAACATTCTGGTACAAGTGTCTTTGTTGTAAGATAATTTCTGATCATCTAGGTATATACCTAGCAGAGGAATTGCAGGATTGAATGGTAGACTTTTAGTTCCTTGAGTGTTCTCCAAACTTTTTTCCAAAAATGTCGTATTAGCTGTATTAGCTTGCATTCCCACCAGCAGTGTAGAAGTGTTCCCTTTTCTCCACATCCACGCCAACGTCTGTAGTTTT